CCAAAGCAGTAGACACCTAGTACTACAAAACCAGAATGTGAATACATTCCTCAGGGATGTTATTTTACCACAACTTTAACATACCACCAAAACCAAACCCACTTGGATCCACCATATCAGTAGTCTCTCTTCAACTCATCAATTTCTTAATTTATAAAAGTGTTTAAAATTTTACATCACCTCAACCTGTATTACCGGTACAGGTTGCATCATTTAAAATCTGGTAAATGACATATTTTGTCATACTTCCTGCATAACCACTATGAAAAGAGTCCTGCTAAATATTTCATTCAGCAGAAGAATATATGGTAGTCTTTCAGTTAACATTTCTGAATGGAATTGAAATAAATCTCTGTTTGTTTTAAGAGACTCTCAATCTAGAAAGCGTATGGGTGTAAGAACACAGGACCAGATGCACGAATGTACTGAAGTATCTAACTAAACTCTGTGCTGGAAGGATCTCTGCAGAGAAGGGTGATATTTTCATGTGAGCTGTGAGCCCAAATCTCCCTAAAATAAATTACTTAAATATGTAGGAGTTTCCCTGAAAGTCAATCAACTGAAGCATCTGAATACTAACTCACATAAACAAAGTTGCTTACATGGTTAAGTGCTGACCTTCTGCACATCGTTGGACAACAGAAACAGGCATTGTTTGAATAAAGCATTTACAGTTGGTATGGGAACCAGCAATGTTGTTACTGTCATTTACTTGTTATTTAATTATTTAGAACAGACCCATTCACACATAAAGAATCAGCAGAAACTTCTCTGAATCGCTCACAGCACGTTTCTGAATCTAGTTCTGAAAACCACAGTTGAAGAAAACTACAGGCTCCTCTCATTCACATTCCTTGCCTCTTAAATATGGATACAGTTTCCTTACACGACCATAGCAGCTTTTGCTGATTTTGGGGGGTTTAGCCCTATAATTATAGTTATAAATGTCTAACTTCACAAGTCAAGATGTCACAGAATTGACGTCTCTCTGAGTTAGTTGCAGCACAGATGAGACATCTTAAAATTCTGCCACATTAGAGTAATAGTATCTACAAGTACTAAACCCCCTTCATGTTAAATCCCAACTCTTAAATCACCACCCCTCTTTAAAATCAGGGGAAGCTCAGCATAAATTACAATATCAAAACAAATTTAGAAGTTGACCTTGCAGGCTGAAGTCAAGGGAGCCTTCTGGTGCCCTGGCATTTCCCTTTCCAAGTCCATCTGTTAAAATGGCATTATGCCACCGCTTACAAGGTGGGGTGCAAGTTCCAACAGTGCACAGGAAACAAACACAGGGCAGGCAGCAGCCCATCAGAACAGAACCTCGAGGTACACAGTGCCAGGAGAAATCACACCGTGGCTTTTTATTTGCCCATGAATATTAAGCAAGCAGTATTATAAAAAGAAATGGGTAGAGTAGCAAGATGGTTGATGGATTTGATATTGGATATATACATCTTGATCCCTAGATCATGAGATCAAATCCTGTTTGTATCAGTAACAGGCAAAAAAAGTGAAATTTTTAAGACCTGAATCTTATTCTCAGGCTTTTTGCATGATTTAATGTAAATTATCCACCTGTTTCTGCCCTGATGTCTTCTTTCTGCAGAACTGAAAGAATACTACTAGAGAAGTTCTGTAAAACATTTCGGATAAGCAGAGATTAATTACATGGATATAGGCATGATCCACTATTCTCTGAAGCCAATGGAAAGCTTCTCATTAATTTAACATATTTTGAATTAAGCCCTGGAAGGAAAAGTTACATTGTGTATGATAATCACATTAGACAAAAATTATTTAGGCCAGAATCTTTCAAATCCAGGAGGGGTTCAAGGCCAGGCTGGATGGGGCTTTGAGCAACCTGGTCTGGTGGGAGGTGTCCCTGCCCAGGGCAGGGAGTTGGAACTAGATGGTCTTTAAGGTCCCTTCCAACTCCAACCATTCTGTGATTCTATGAAATAGCTAAATATGTGCTGAGGTATACTTAGATTTGTGGAGTTACACATCTACACAGAAATTTGCAGGATTAGGATCAGATGGGCATCTTTCAATAGACAAGCCTTGAAGCTATGAAACAACAGTCTAATGGAAAGTCTATGTGAAAGTCCTCACTCCTCTATGCTTTTATTGCCTGATAAAATGTTTTTCACAAGAGATATTTGGAAATGAGAAATTTTTCGTAAATAAAGATTCCTTTCTGTGGGAGAAATCCAAGGAAGAACACTGATCTCTGTTGCCTTGACAACATTATCCTGATATACTCAAGTATTAAAGTATCCGGTATGCTCAAAAAAGTTGCAATATCATTTCACATTGGATAATTAGTACATTATTGTGTTGGCATCCAGTCATCTATCATCTGTGACTATCTCTCACAGAAAGTTATGAGCCAAATAATACATGAGAAATATCTCAGCTGACTTAAATGCACATGGTATTTTTATTGTGTATTTTCTTGGCTACTGGAAGTTACCAGATCTATGTCCTAGAAAACAGAGAATTTTTCCATGATACGTAGATATTATTAAAATAAGTGTTGTTTTTACAGTAAGGAATTTTGAAACTGAGCAGAGGGATCGCCTCTAGGGAATGTCTGGAGGAAGTCCATCCACTCAAGGCTGGAATCTCAAGGGTTGAACTCAAACGTTGGCCTTTCTGACAGGCTTTGGTGAGGGTGCCCACCAGGGTCACAGCAGAGCTGCTTCTGAGATGAGGACGCGGTTGTCTCATGCTGGCTGCTCACTGCTGAAGACTGAATACCTAATTTTCCAGAGCTGCTGAGCCATACTGAGGGAAAGAGCAGGAGCACCAAGCCTGCAATGTTGCAAAGAACCTCAGTTTCTCTTTAAATATAAAAAATACTCTGTTACTGGAAAAATCTATACCAGCAGCCTCTGTGAACCCAGAGCAAAGTTTCCTGCTTTCATTTCCCTTCAGTTTTTCTATAGACTGCCCCAGATGTAGTAAGAATAAACAGAAATTAAAGCAGCACTTCCATGGCATGTTGATAATCGCTTCTGATCCATTAGAGGGAAAAGTTTGTATACAATGTACTATATCCTTCCCTCCAATATCTTCTAATCATTTCTTTGGATGAAGATGATGAAATGATATACTCTGCACCTGACATAAATTATTTTATTGACAAATAAAATGAAAGATGCTGATCAGTGAACTTACTACTGCTTTTTTTATTAACACACTACAACAAGAAGTTGTAGTTTTTTCCCCACCAGAAGTTAGTAGGTGTAACTTGGGCTGGTCAGTGATGCCATAACCTCTACCAAGCCAGTTCCTATAGTTGTGCTATTTCACACCAAAAATGTTGTTTCCTTCCCAAGAGAGGCAGCAGGACAAGAGACAACCCACATGATATAAATCATCAAAAATACCCAAATGTCACCAAAGAAAACAAAGAGGGAAGGCAGTAATACTCCTGTGAGAATCTCAAGCTTTATCTAAAATAAAACTTCAGGTGTACTGAAAGGTTGTGAGTGATTTCCTGTACAGGATAAGGAGATTGTTAATTGTCCTTTCCCAAACAGGTCTGCTGCCCTGCCTGAACTGTGGCATCCTGTTCTGTGAATTATCTCCATGGCCCTATGGCTGCTTCCGATTTCTCATCTCCGTTGTTACCAGAGGATTTATGTCATCCTTTAGACTACTTTTTCTGCCCCAAGGGGACACATGTGCTGACACATGATTTTCTCATCCTAAGTTTTGACTTATTAGTTCCTTTAATCTAATTTAGAGGCATTAGCACTGCCCCTTTAGAACTGTGCATCTCTGATAATGTAAAATGTTTCTAGGAGGAGCCAAGAAACTAGCCCACAGTTCTGATAAATGGCTCTGATTTTTGAATGTTAGCTGCTCACCTTTATCTTCTGATCTTTTCAAGCACCACCTAATCACAGAAAGTGCTTGAATGTCTCTCCTGCAGCTGCCTCCCCAGATGATACCTGGAGAACTCTATTGATGGACTGCCTGGGCTGCTACTGCACACTGCAATGCAGTTAAGCTAATGCCTGAATGGCCTCCCTGCTTACACAGTACTTAGATTTTTTGGTGAATGTTTCTAAGGACTTGTCCAATCTATACCTTTCCGATAGCAGTCAACCTTCAAATGGCATTGAACAGATCAGGAACGAGTTGCACTACATGAGCAATTCAAGTTTAGAGGAGTTTGGTCTTAGTTACATATTGAGAACTACTGCTGCCCTCTACTGTATTATTATGGGTTGTGCCTCTGATAATCAATGAAAGTCACAAATATTCAAGCAAAATTTCTAGTCTTACCCAGAACTTATCAATACATGGAAATATTAAGCATGCTAAGATCATTCAAAGGATCTGTTTCTAATTCATCAACATATTCTGATTCTGCAGGGGCTAGGTCAAGTGGAAAAATCTTTATCTTTTTTCTATGATTTGGACTCTTAGAAGAGGTGGATCCCTGCAAGGGGCTGGATGTGTTTCACTGCTTCAGCAAAATGTTGTCTCTTCTTCTGATAATAAATAGCCATCAGAAGAGTAAGAACTACGGAGTAAGAAACCAATCTTGTGGTCAAAATGACTGCATCAAGGTCCTGCGTGGGACACAATGTCTCTGATAGCGTGAACATTAGCTTAGATTATGATGGAGAGCTAAGTCCTAGTTCAAATGAACTAATCTTTCTTTAGTCTCAATTTATTCAGTTCTGAAAGGATACAGCTCACAAACCTCTCAAAAAGCTAGGCTTCTTTCTCACTGATGCTAGGACAAGTAACATGAGTGCAACATTGCTTCACAAAATACACCCATAACTGCAGTTCTTCGTGGTTCCCCATTTCCTCCACAAACTTTGTTATGTAAAGGCCTTCTTTTACATAAGAAGAGGATTATTAAAAATCACTAAAGCTGGAGTCAACCCACGCAGCCTAGGACCAGACATAATTGCATGAGGACACAATGGGGCATGGCCCAATTCTTAAACTCTAGTTTATAAAACACCTACCTCTAGGACTTTCCCAGTAATGAACTGGTGACACGCTTCACATTTGACTCCAAAAAGAACTTGATAGTCCTTTTCACAATAAGGAGAGCCATCTCTGAAAAAAAAAAATCCACAAATTACAAACCACTTTCTAATAAACAGGTTACAGCATGACTTGCACTCTTCCCTTGTCTTCAGTCCAGAACACATACATACGGCAATACCAAAATGGGAGAGAATTCAAGGGAAATATTTTATAGTAAAAAAAAAAAATTATATCCTCATTCTCTTAGAATTATTCCTTAAATTCCCATTGAGAAAAGGCATCCAGATACTGAAGTATCTCTCAGTCTTTAGAACAGACACTCTCCACCTACAAGTGGTGCAACTCTAGAGAGACACTGGAACTACGTCCGGGAGGACGAGAGGAGATCAGAGTCTTTATTGTAGGCAGATACTTTTTGTTTACTTCAGAAAAAAAATCTTTGGTAGTCTGCAAGAGTATAAGCAGTTACTTGTGTAAGTGTAAGGTTATGTATTTTTTAGTACGAACAAGGAACATACAGTAAAAGTGGAAATACTAGTCAGCTTAGGAGTATTTCTCAGGCACTGAACTTGTTTTGAGAAATTGGAGATATTACTTTTTAGTAAACATTATAAACCCTTTAATGGCAAGTTTGTGAAACGTAGTTTCCGTACTTTTTGTTATATGAGGGGAATAGAGACTGTATCTTCATTCCCTCTATTTTATCATGACACCACTTTTCCCCATTCTCTTCCTCTACACTTCCTTCCTCTCAAAACTCTCTTTGTTAGCTTCTTACATGGAGATGAGAAACACAGTGTCAGGTCAAACACTTCATCACATTTACTCTATTCTCTAGCAAAAGCAAGCAATGGACAGGTTCTTAATTTTTTCCTCAAAACTGCACGTTGGAATGCAAAATAGCACCAAGTTTTATCTGGCTAACACAGAAAACACATACTAGAGTTCACCTAATCCTTTGTGGGAACATGGAGATATAACCCCTTCCATATTGGTATAAATACAGACTAGTATTATTAAGCACCACTTTTCAGTTGCTTTTTTCAGTTTACTTTCCTTTCCCAACTCAGCTCTCACTGGGAACAAAGATTTTGGTGTATACGGAAAGGTGACCAAAACTGGATTTCAAAAGGCAAACTTTGCTGCAAGCTCTTCTTCACTGGCACCACGAATTCACGCCAAGGGTGCAGAAGAGATGCAGAGGTTACTTACTTGCTGATGTATTCCCCAGTTAGGACCTTCCCACAGGCCTTGCACTTAAAGCACCCCAGGTGCCACTGCTTATCCAGAGCTAGCAATGCTTGTCCATTCTTTATGTCTCTTCCACAGCCAGCACAATCTGCAAAGAAACATACGAATACATTTGTTGACAGTTCCTTGGTTCATTAATCCTCATTAACCATCCACCAATTGCTACACTTGGTAACCACATGAGAGAATCGTACAGCAGCACCAAGATATGTCTTCCTTTCCTCAGATGCTTCTCGGGTCCTGTCTGAAGATTCAGTCTTCTTCACCATAGTCATACTCAGTAGAAGAGGGAAAGTACCCCTTTTGGTTTTCATGCTCTTTATGATTCAAAGACTACCAGGCAAACTCTGTACAAACTTCAGATTTTTTCCAGGAACGAGTTACATAAATTATCACTCAGAAAAGTTCCTGTATTCCAGAGCAATCGGTGTTTTTTCTTGTTTTGCTTTTAGCAAAATCTTGATTGCTTACATGAAGCTAAATGAGGAGGCCTGGGTGAGCATCATCAGGACTTCTGTGCTTCCCCGTTGGGTGGCAGCAAAGCCCAATGTGTCTACCCAGCTCAGGGCGGTGGCACAGCTCTGCTGGGACCAGGGGAGAGACCTTTTTTCAGGGAGGGCCCAAGGCAAGGGTGATAGCAGTAAGTATGGCAGCAGTGAAGGCTGCATGGCAAGGATTACTGTCCTCCACCTGCAGATGCGGGAAACTGTAGTTCTCATGGTCTGTAACAGGCATAAGGAATCTCACTCAGGGATTTTGGTACCACCTTGGTAGTTGACACAGGCTTTTTACTGCAATTCTGAAAGACTCTTTGATGGCAGAATGTGAACCTGAAGCCAGGAGCACTGAATGCCCTCTGTCCCAGAGGATGCCACAGCATCTTATGTCACATCGGAAATCTCTGGCTCAGCCTCAAGCTCCCATTCCTCTCCATTCAAACAAAGAGATTTCCTGGTAAGGGGGATTTCAGCACATGGTGAGATCTGAAGAGACTGATGTGGCAGACAGCACTGAACTGCAAGGGTTGAGCTACAGCTTCTGTGCCCAGCCTCGGGACAGAGGGACTGAGGGAAAAGAAGGCCTGGAAGATCAATGAAGCAGAAAGGGAATGTCCATCAGCTGAGGCACACACAGAAGCCACAGAGGAGATGGCCTGGAACAAAGGATTTTCCATATATTATTATTCCCAAACTCAGTGTTCCTCTGGTGAATGCAACATCCTCTCCACATGCCTGAAACATCAACAAATAGCAACAAATGGAGACCAACAGAGTAATCTGAGCGGTTAAAGCCCAGGCAGCAGGAAAAAGATCATCCTGGCTGCACTGCTCGAGCTGACTGAACAGGTACTGCCTGAAAACCTTCATCTCCTCATGGGTTCACAGCCCAGGCAACACCACACCCTGCAAAAGGGTGAGTTCAAGTTTATTATCACAACTGATAATGAGAGTAACTCCTTTTCACACCAAAGGGCCTGACGTTCATGTGCTGAACAACGGGTCAAGAGAGCCCCAAATATATGCTGTGCATTCCTGCTGTCCAGGTCACCATTTGCAGGACATCCCTCTATCTGTCAGCATGCTTCTTCTCCTAAAGTCCCTTTAAAAAAATAAAAGGGGACTAAGCACCATGGTATCTTGTGATAAAATGCAAGCCACGGACTGTTGACACGACTTGGACTCGAAAAGCAACCCTGAGATGTCCTAATACCAGGACTTTGCTCTAGAGGACAAACGTTACAAATTGAAATCATGAAATGACAAGGACTGACAGCATGTAACAGATCCCTCTGCTCTCCCGTGCCAGCTCAAGGCTCCATGCCACTCCGGAACGACAGCAAAGGCTGGAACGGATGACCAAGGGAGGGGAGGGAATTTCCAGCATGGGGCTGAGGAGGGGGCAAGCAAACATCTGTCAGGATGGCTTTGGGACACCCATCTTACCTTTGGTTTTGGGAGGATACTACATCACCTCTTTTGGTCCCTTCCAGCCTGCACTTTCTTATGCTAAATCTGAAAACATGCAATTCTCCTTCCGATTGTGACAACAAATGGGATTTTTCCTCCAGCCCCAGTGGGTGTTGCACTGCAGTTTTAAACAGCACCCGTTTCTCAGCTCCCTAGCACTACTGCTTCTTCCTCCTGTGCCAGCTTCCACATCCCTGACCTGGGGTCCTGCCAAACTGTGATACATTCCCTGTTGCATTAATCCCTCAAAAAATCTGCTGTGTTTTCCATGTTGTTTTGTTTTTTTTTTTTTTTTCAGATTTATTGAAGAAGATTTTGTGAAGCTGAAATTTCTCAGCTGTGGAACAAAGGAAGAGATTTTTAAACCATTTAGTTTTGCTTCTACCTGGGTTTCTGAAGCAGTCAGAATAGAAAAATTGCCTTATACAAAAGTTCTACCTAGTCCAGCATCTTTACTGGTGCCAAAACCAGGTACATGGAGGAAACAGGGATCCCTGAACTATCCCTACCTGTTTAATTGCTTCTTGCAAGCCGAAGGTGGTATTGCTGCACTCACTCTTGTGCTCAGGTGTGATACAAGGGGTTGATAATGTTATTTCATTATTCTGTAGCAACAATGACATTTACTTATTCTTTCTGGGTTCCTTGAAGTGTTTTGCAAGAGTAAATTAACATCATAATACCCATTCCGCTAATATCACTGATATATTGAATGTTTAGAATCAAAGTAAACTAATAGCCCAGTACTGTATTAGGCTGAGATGGCTTTTAACTAAACCTGATTTTAACTCTGGCAAAACAGTTGGGTATATACATGAAAAGCTAGACATTATCATTATCCCCTAAAATAGAAAGCAAATAAGGCTGGGCTGAGCTAAGAAAAGACCATTTGTTCATCGAATTCTGCAAATAAAAGCTATTTCTGATGTCGGGCCTGCATGAGGCACATTAAAGCCTTTGGCTGAGTATCATCAGCACACAGTGTATGCAGGCAGGATCTCAGGATGACATTAAGAACAATCTGCATCAGCCCAACCTATAACCAGCACACGCTGCAAATAAAGGATCATGAGGTCCACAACCATATGCCAGAACAGACTGGCATAAAAAAAAATCTGAAAATTCTTCCCAAAATTTTGTGCAACGGTTCCCACCATAGTTCTCTCTGGCTTCGTACCTGGGTTTAACAGACTACACCCCCTCATCTTGAGCTTTCTTGTACTTTCTTTTTGTCATATAACCCATTTTTCTTCCCAACTCCCATTCTTTGGACATCCACACATTCAGCTGTGCCAGTATAACAAAGAGGAGGAGGAGGAGAGCGCAGTGTGCTTTGTAAAATGCAGAGTGAGCAGTACAGTTCCCATGTGCATGTATGATCTAAAAAGTATACCACAAAAAACACTGTGGAATTATGTTTGAGCCAAAGGAAGACTTAAGACTAGACATTCCATGGCACTTACAAGAAATGGGAAGTAACACAAGTATGTATGTATTGTGTCCATGCCCAGAATCTTCAGCTGTATGACAGCCATTTTTCAATAACAGCACAGCAGTATGACTTAAATAAGGACCAGTCATTAGAAGGTTATTCAGGAATGCCAGGAAAATAATATATTCCCTCCCAAATCCATCCTAAGTGGGGGGGAAATTAAAAAAAAAAAAAAAAAAAAAAAAAAAAAAAAATATTTGTAAAACCTTTT